AGGGATGACTTTTGAAAATGAAGCTCTCCTTATGCAAGGACTACTGTCTCATACTTGTTTTGACGTATGTGCTCATGCATAAAGGGCAGTATGCTCTTGTAATTACATCTTATATAGAAAGTCACTGAATGATCCAAAACAGCCCCTTCTCTATCTTCAGGATGCTGCTCTCCACTCCTTGTGGCCCTGAAGCAAACGTTGGCTGTCCGGCAACCTCCCTGGCCTGCAAGAACAAGCAGTGCTTGGCGTGCAGGATGGCTGTGGTGGCTAGGGGCTGTGGCAGAGCCAATCAGTACCGGGCAGGCCATCAATGCCACCTTTCAGGGTCCAGAGCTGAAAGGCTGCCATTGTGATCTGTGTCTTTCCTGACCGCATCTTATGACCTGGTGCACGGAGCCTCTCACAGTGCGTGCAGGCGGAGATAAGAAAGCTGGGATGTGTGCCCATCTCCCTGCCAGCAATGTGTTGTGAGTGAGGATGGAATGCTCACGAGTGCTCTGCTGCTCTTCCTCCCGCTGCTAGTCAGGCATACAGTGTTAGGCTGATTGGTATGATGGAAACCTTGGCATGAAGCCCTGGAGACCTACACCAGTAGCCGTCTGGGGTAGGTTTGTCTAATATCACTGCGGGCTGATAGTATACTGCAGACAGCCAGTATTGATAGCTTTACTGTAAAAGAAAAAGATCACAGGGTTGCCTGCCAGGAAATGAGAGAAACACATAAGTAGAAAAAAATGTTGAGGAGAAAAGATTAAAAGAGGCTGAGACTAGTTAAGAGCCCAGACACAGATGGTCTTGTGCCTGCCTGCGCCTTTTCTCAGTGTGTTTGCTCAATGTGGTTCCAGAAAACATGGGCAAACAGGGGTGCTGCTGTAGAACACCACCTTCAGTGGAGCAAAGCCCTCCCAGTCAATACAGACTTAAGAGTTTTTAATCTAACCCTGAGGTAGATACTTGGCTGTGGTTGCAGCATCCCTTCCATGAATTGCATTAAATCTGCACCTTCAGGGACCACAAGCAGGAGTTGAGACCTTCAGATTTCACGTTGACTTCTAAAATTTGCCAGCAGGAATCTCTTCCTACCTTATGATGGAACAAGTTTTCCATTAGTTGTCTGCATTTGTGTTGTGTAGGAGACTGATTAGATTTGGTTTGCTTTTAAACAGACTTAATGGAAGTTGTGGCCTCAAGTGCTTTCTTGAGCATGGACATGTGCTGATCAAAACCACAAGTAGTATCAACTCTGTGCATCATTGGGCTGAAGTTTGTGAGTCCATTGCTTGTGTGTTTTTCATAAATTCCAAAATAAGACACAGGATTCCTAAAAGAGCAAGTTCCCCAAGTCAGGTCCTGCTGGCCTCATTTGGTGCATGCCCTGCTCCATGCAACCCGTGCCTTGTGCAGGCTGCTCACTGTTGAGGTGGCCCTATGGGCACAGCTGAGTCCAACTGGCTTCCTCTGTGTGTTGAATGAGCAGTTCTCACCTGCTGGAAAGTCTCTCAGGAATGCAAAAGCCCTCTCCATTAGTTTGAGTTACATGACTTTCACACAATGGCCAGCCTGTCTGTAGGCTTCTTCTTCCCTACTGAGGAAATAATGTTTGCTCCAGGGCTACAGCTGGGACTTGCTGAGACCAGTGACCTTATTTATTTATGTGTCTTTATAAGAAAAACAGGACTGCATGGTAGTGTTCTCCATAAAAGCAATTACGGAAAATGCTAAAAGTCCTGTATTTGCTCTGAGGGCAGACCAAAAGCTAAAACCAAGCCTGGTTTGGTTCCCAGCTGTGTTGTCCAGACCGCAGTTAGCTTCTGTTTCACTGTTCAGCCTTATGGACGTGAAATCCTAAATCAAACTGAGCAACATCACAGTTTTCTCTTTGAAATCTTTTGCAGACATAATTTCATAATTTACTTGTATTTTTTGTTTATATTTTGTTCCCAGTATGTGATGTTCCTTCTATTACCTCAGCTATGTACTAAATGAATTATTTTTAGATATCTGAGACACGAAAGCATAACTTTCTCTGGTGCAATTGTATGACATGACATTACTATGCTGTTTTTTTTTTTTTTTTTTTTTTTTTTTTTTTCCCTTAAGCTTAACAAGAGAACTAGGCTGGAGAAGAACCAGAAGTGAAGGAGTGAATTTGAAGCTGAGAAGAAGAGGAGGTGGGAAGGAAGTTGTGTTCGTCTGCTTTTCTCAGTGCTCTGTTACTAACTGTAAATTAAATTGTTTTTCCCCAGGTCAAGTCTGCTTTACCCATCACAATAATTGGTGAAGTGGTTGTCCTGTTCTTATCTTGACCTACAAGGTTTTCATCTTGTTTTCTCCTCCTGTTCTGCTGATGTACAGTGAGAGTGTGGCTGAGTAGGTGTTTGGCAACCAGAAAGGTCAAACTACCACAGAGGTATAAACTTCACAGGAAATACTTATTTTGAATTCTTGGGATTTCTGTCTGGCCATCCACTGTTAACCATACAATCACAGAATATGTGGAGGTGAAAGGGGCTCACCTGCCTCCACCCAGCACCACCCCAAATCCAGACTCTATGTCTGAGAGCACTGTCCAAACACCCCTTGAACTCCAGCACTGGTGGCCATACCCACAGCCCTGTGCATCCCGTTCCCCGCCCACCGCCCTGTGGTGCAGCCCCTTTCCCTGACCCCCAGCTGCCCTCCCCTGACAGCTCCATGCCGTTCCCTCGGGCCCTGTCGCTGTCACACAGAGCAGAGCTCAGCGCTGCCCCTCCGCTCCCTGCAGCTGCCTTCAGGCCTCCCCTCAGCTCCTCTGCTCTGGGTTATCATATTGATGTAGCAGGTTGAACGAAGTGATGGGCGTTTGGTGAACTCTTATGGTAAATTGGGTAGTCTTCACCCCTTAGTTGCGCGCCTTTCTGATATGATGTTACTATGCTGGTTGGTGATGTCTTTGCCACTTCTGACTGTGTTTGCTAACTTGTGTCTTGCACATCACCTGCAGAGATGGAAATTCAATCTTTTTCTATGCTTCTGCAGCATCTCCTGCTTTGGGGTCCTAGCCACAACTGGAGCATCTAAGCAATGGAAACACAGACAAACGATAACATTGATGGAAGTGAATCATTTATCTTAATAAAAGGATCCTTTTCTTCTTGGTATCATCTTCAAAAGGTATACTGGTTTCCCACATGATTTAGCTCTGGTAGACAGCTAAGCTTCACTCAGACAGCCTCTCACTTAACCCTTCCCAGCAGAATTGGGAAGAGAATCAGAAGGGCAAAAGTGAGAAAACTTCATGGATTGAGACAAAGTTTAAGAAGTAAAGCTAAAAGGGCCTGCACAAGCAGAGCAAAATAAAGAATTTATCCACGGCTTCCTGTCAGCAGGACATTTCTAGGACCGCAGGGCTCCAGCCTCTAATGCACCCCAAACCAGTACAACTCATCTCCTTGAAATTGGATGGAATATCACCTGTGCTTATAAGATACCTTTAAATTGCTGTTTTCATGGTACTGATGTTGACATTTATGCAAAAGGCCTTTATAGAAAAGGTATAACTAGATTTACATTCACAAAACATGATTGGGCACTTCTTGAGTTACAGATCTGTCAATAACTTCCTAGAGCTTTCAACAACTGTCATGTTGTTGTTTTTAACTGGAACATATTTTACAGCAAAAGAGCAGCCTTGTAGAGCAACATGTGCTCTACAACCTAAAATGCCAACCAACCAACCAACCAACCAACCAACAAAAAAACCTAACCACTAAAATGTGTATTTTTAAATAGTTAATAATATCCAGCAACAGTACAAATGGAACAGTGTAACAGAAATTGGGTGATGCTCCACCTTATTGCATTTCCTCACCAGACTCATGTACGGAGCACCTTCACAACAACAAGAGAGAAGGAACAGGCTTTGGATTTACATCAGAAGAGAACGTTGAATGTAACTATTGATGACCTTATGGATAATCATGAGTGGAGTTGGAAGTGTTCATCTCTGCCTTGAGTCATGGAAGGTCAAAGTAGTTGTTCATCTCTGAAGAACAATTGCTTCTTTCAGAAGGCTCAGCCAACAAAAATCATTGTTAATACTTAATAATGTGCAATTCTGTATGGCAAAATGTCAATAGTGTCATTCTCTTAGTGAAGAATGGATTTTATGTTATCTTCCTTTTCTCTATTCTGCTTATAGCTATCATTAATGTAGCATTCATTCTTTCAGTTGGCACATACTTTGTAGAGACTGTAGACAGGCAGGAGTATGATTTTTTTTTTTTAAACCAATTTATTTCTGACAGGGCAAAAAGAGCTTGGCTGGTATGGTGCTTATCTAACGTCACATTGAATTTTGTAGTGCAATGTGTAGATCTTTGAAATTCCAGTATAAAGAATGAGAATGAGTATTTGTCAGGATAATCTTTTTAGTACTTTCCTATGGTGGAAAAACAGAATTGGATTTTTCTTCCCTTTCAGTTTTTTTAGTGAGCACTGTTAAATCTGCTCCTTTATAAATCCCATGGTAGTTTAAAAAGGCTATGTCTACTCTGTTCTCCCCAGCATATTTATTCCTGCTTCTTGCCTGAACTCAGGACAGTATGTTAAGCGTTTACTCACTGAAGCTCACACCAATCTGTTTTTCCTTTCAATCTTTTCCACTTGTTCTAGTTATCTCAGGCTTCAGACGAGTGCTGTTTAGGCAGGGAGTAGTGGGGCTGGGTATAAACCGAGTGCTAGTTCTTCACTGAAAGCATGTGACAGCAAATCTGGGAATTCCTGCTTCATTTATGAGAGCGCACAAGACGTAATGTCACTCTCTCCTTATCCGGAGATGCTTACTACAAACAGCTGAGCTGGACTCCACATCAACAAAGCCGTCCACCCAAATAAATATTGTAGTCACCAAACGACAGGCATCTTGCAATTCCCTCAGCAGATCTTTTATTTTTAGTGCCTGTACACTTTTTTTCTTTTTCTTTTTTTTTTTTTTTTCTTTTTTTCTCTTTTGGAATTGCTATTTTCAAGTAAAAGAATTTTCAAGCTTCAAGAATTCTTCTAAAAAGCAGGTAAAATACAATCTTTCTATAATACACTTTTTTTTTTCTAGAATGGCTTAGTTCTGTTGTTTTGAGAGGATGAGTTTTTATGTGGGCATTCAAATAATGCATATTAAAAGTTACTTGAACTTTGCAAATAGCAAACATCTGTACCTGAGCATTCAGTATTTTAAAACACTAGTGAGACACATCAGGTATATGTTATAAAATTCTGTACTTTTTTTTTTTAGTTGCACTTTGTTTTAGCTTTGCATTGTCTCAAACATCAGCCTTTCCCAGAATATTAAATATTTAAAAGATTTTTCTAATTTACTTACATGAGATTGTAGATTCTTTGGAGGCTCAGACTTGCTGTGTTTTTTGATGCATGTATTTTGCCCTTCCTATTCCATTTATGCATAAAAGAATTAGTTTGAGCTTACAGTTTGGGCTAGGAACACTGTAAAGTAGGAACTTTATTAAACTTTATTAAACTTTATTAAACTTAAAGTTATAAAACTTATGCTTTGAAAATGTGCTTAGTTATACATAGTTAGTCAACACATGGGTGTAGAGTGAACACATCTCTTAAGTGAAAAAATGTAATAGAAAATGAACAAAGTATGTATGTACTCCCATTACTTTTCCGAAGCATTCATTTTCATGGATTTTACTCATGTTGGCTGTACTTCTAACAAGCTGTTGTGATTTTCTCGTCTTGTTTGAGCAGTCTGCCGGGAAGAAAGCAGTCTGTATGACCAACAATGGGCTGTTCTGTTCTGCTCTGTTCAGCGCGGCATTTGGTGCGTGAGGATGAGGGCAGAGCCGCCCGCCTTCCTCAGAGTTTGAGATTTTACAAACTGGATGTGAGCATTTGGGTTTCAATGAAGGTTAAGGCAAGAGGCCAGGGGATCAGTCACTTAAAGTTGGCTCCGTAACTGTTACGGTGAATATTTGTGTAATATATTTTTGCGAGAATTAAATCTAGTACTCGTGCAAAACAGGCATTGAAGAGCTGCACCTTTCTAGAAAGGTGGATCAGTTGATGTGTTGGAATTTCTTCATATTTCTCAGTAACACTCATGGAAAACACCGCCATTTTGCAACCTGAGCTCCTGCCAAAGCATATCTTATCATCAGAGTGTTTCTGGTTTTTTTTTTGAGGGCAGCTCCAGTGCTTTTCTCGACAACTCAGCTTTCCACGCGGGCTTTGATCTGTTGATAGGAGGCTGATTTGGACCTTGTCAGTTCTCAGTGAAGGCATCCATATGCTTTATTCTGAGTTAAGCAACTCACCATGAGTTAATCTTAAATACTGCTGGAACAAAGAAGGGAAATCATGGATGACAGAGCTGCTGAAGTTTAGAGTTGAACAGATCCCAGTGAGTTAATAAGATTTGCCTGGGTGATGGGCTTTTCCTTCAACTTAATCGAGGAGGAGAAATGGTTCCTCACTGCAAGCCTTTGGGGATGCTGTTTGAGTGGAGATGGAAAGAAAATATGAGAGTGTGGACATCTGAAACTGATGCTGAGGGACAAAAGAGAAAGAGCAGAGCATTAGTTGAGGGGATTTGCCTTTGATTTTCCCTTCAGAAAGTGCATTAAATAAGGCTAAATTCTACTAGAAGCACTGAAAAATTTGAACTTACTGCCGTCTTTTTCATTGCTAGAGAAATAAAATATAAAATGGATAAAATGTATTAGCTAAGAAGACCCTTGTTAGTCTGAGACAAAGCAACAATTATGCCTATAAAATTTCCCAATAACAATAGCTGAAGAAATGCTGAGAAAAAACTCCACAGTCTAATGATTTTTCTTTTTCTTTGTGAGTGGGTGCATTTGCCAGACCGCATTTTCTCTTGAGGATTAACTTTGAACTGCCAATTAAAAGTTATTGCTAAATCCTGTTACAGCAGAAAGCCTTTAGGTTCTTACTGTTGAGACTTGGTCATTGTTTCTCTCACAGAGCAGATTAAGCTGCTGGGACTTCAGCAAATTACATTTGCAGAGTATCATTAATAGTGCCATAAAGTTTGCTTATTGATACAGTGATGACTCGGATTCTTTTTCAAGAGCTTTACAAAACCATGTCAGCCTGCTATACTTACCAAAGAAAACTACTGAAGTCTGTGTGCTGAAGGTTGGATGATCTTTGCTACGATTTTGGGGCAAAGAGGGTAAAACATTGCAAAAGCCCTACTGTTTTTTGACAGGCACCAGCTGTTATGGTTAGGGATTGCACGCTGTGTGTATCTCTACTCTAAGTGGGGACAAATGGAGCATTATTTCAGAAACCATTCTGTGGTAACGGTTGGCAGATGTTTGCATTCTGAACGTGGTCACTGCAGGATCATCACACGCTTTAAAATCTCTCGGTCTAGGCACAGATCAAACAAGAAAGAGAAATGAACCCGCTGATATTTTAATTTGCCTGAGAGAAGAAAGAAAACATTCTGTGTTCACCAGAAGAGCTGTACAGTGCTGCCAAAACCATTTTCTCAAAGATGTGTGGAACATAAACTTATTCACTCATAAATCAACATTTGGGCTTTCACGTTCCTCTCATTTCCATGCTTCAGATCTGTGATCTCGTTGAAAATATTGAAATTCTTGATCTCTGTGAGAATATAACTGCACCCAGCATGTTCTTATTAAAAAAAAGGCAGAAAAAGGGATGTCATCTTAGAGGAAAAAATGATAGCCTAGAATTAAATAAATGAAGCAAATGAGTAATACAATAAGAAGTAATAATTAAATAAACAAATGAATGAGTGGACCTGCTTATATGCAGGATGCAGGATGCAGCATCTTCTGGTTGTTTAATGGATTTTTGGCATGTATTACTTTTTTTTTTTTTTTTTTTTTCCTTTGGAAACAATCTTCATGGCACCTATTGAGAAAACACCTAAACCAGCAGAAATCCTGCAGTTTTCAATGGGTTCGGCCCCATATCTTTGGTATTTCAGGAGCCTATGAGAAAGAGTAGAAAAAGTACTGATGAGAGGACATGGTTAATTGGCATGGTGGTGATGGGTTGGGCTAGATGATCTTAGTGGTCCTTTCCAACCTTAATGACTCTATGGTTCTATCTGCAGCACTCTGCTTGATGTCATGAGCAAACTTGCTGAGGCTGCACTCAATCCCCATCTGTGTTATTTATGAACATGTTAAAGAGCTCTGGGGCCAAGACAGAACTCTGGGGGATGCCACTCGTTGCTGGCCTCCACTTGGATGTAGAGCCATTGACCACAACCTTCTGGTTGGGACCACTCAATCAATTCCCTATCTATTGAATAGTCTATCCTTAGAATTTGTATTTTCCAATTTAGAGATAAGAATGTGGTGTGGGACCATATCATAGGTCTTGCAGAAGTTTGGACAGGTGACATCAGTTGCCCTTTCATTGTCCACTGAGGCTTTCACTTCATTATAGAAGGCCCTTTTCATTGAAACAATGAAAAATGTCGCCCTGAGACATGTTAAATCAAATACAACATTTTATTGGCCTGTGTGGTATTTTCTTTTCCATTATTCATGGGCTGTTTTGTTAAAATTTCATTTTCTTCTGTCATCAGACCAGGAGGGCTCAGAGCATACATTTTCCTCCCAGTCAGGAAGCCAATGCAGTTACATGATTTGTTTAGGATTCATTGTGATGGATTAGTGTGGAACCGTTAAATACAGCGCAGAGAAGTGGCCATCCCTCATGACAGCTTTACACCTTTGCTGTGCTGTGTGCCACGTCAGGAGCAGTGGGGTGAGCACAGCAAGGCAGGAGCTTCAGCAGCTGCAGCAGGGATGCTGAGAAGCTGATTGGGAAGTTGATTGCTGAGATGAAAGCAAAGAAGAAATTCAGGGGTGACATTTGGTACCAGTCTCTGAACACACCCAAAAAGTGTTATAGGGGATTTGAGCAAAACAGCATAATTGGTGAGAATGATTCTCTAACACTAAGTGACTTATAGACCATTTAATTTTCATTCCAGGCAGAAATTATATTACTGGAGCTTCTGCAAATTTTACAGCGCTGTGGAGGTCTCATGACCAATGGCTACTTTAGAGATTTGTTTTGATCAACATAACTAGAATTGTGTAGGCAGAAATATTTGCTGAACTGGTACATATTTATCACCCCTGTTCCTATCGCAGAGCGCTTTTGAATACTACCAATTCTATTTAGAAACAACAATTTTTCTGGTTAAGAGGGCTGCATTTAAACTAAGAAAGTTTGTACCTGTTTTGTAGCTCTGGCAACCTATTTATTTATTTATTTATCTTTCACATACAAAATACACCTTCATAAACCACTCTTAATAATTTCTTCATTTCCTGATTAGGTAATTTTTTTTTTGCCCTTTCTCATCATCAACAGGCAAATTTTCACCTGGCCGTAGTGAAGGATGGTGGGCAAACTACAGAGCCTTGAATAAAAATATTGCCAGAAGAAGGAAAAAACCAACCCAATACATAGGAAGTCTGGGGTTGTATATGGGAACATCTTTGCATCTCAGAGATAAAGTTCCTGGATATCGGTTTTGGGAAGAGAGGCTTCAGCAGCACTTTTGCATAGAAGGCAGCAGAACACACTCACTTAATAGGCACAAGAAAACTTACTGGAAGACCCTTATATACCCCCAAATATCTATCACGATTCAGCCAAGGACCTGATCTTTTCAGCAATACTCAACATGTTATAATCCACTGAAAGCAAGACTCCCTTAATTTTTGTGCTACTGTTTCGTATTTGAATTTATATTACCTTTTTCCTCCCAAACCCACAGTCTTGTGCTTGCACGCACTTGCTTGATTTACTTTAAAATTGCATAGTGCATTGGATCTGGCTACTTTAATTTATAAGCTGGTACTTCACCCCGCAGATACAATTTCATACTGAAATTATTTTTCCTGGCATGTTTTACTAAGAAACCCAAGAGAAAAAAATGCTTTTCTGTATCCAGTAGTGGACAATTATCCATCACCTGAGCTGCAGCTCTGTCTGCCTGACAGCCCAGGCCCCTGGAAGAGCAGGA